AAACTCTTCACAAGGCTCAAGAAGCAACTGCTGATCAAAATGATTCCAAAGTTCCTCCCACTCCCACTGTCCAAGAATCACAAGATGACAAAACCGCAATAGAAGTGAGCTCTGCTCCCACCTTTGGTTTTGATAATGTTGATTTACAAGAGGTAAACAAACCCTCTCCCTCTGATGATGATCTTATGATGTTTGATGAAGAAGAAGAATCCAGTTGCTCTCATCATTCAACTTCAAAGCCCAAAGAGAAGATGAAAAAGAAGAAGAATGTTGTCACTCGGAAAGAATTTTTGAGCCTACAAGCAAAGGTTGATCAAATCCTTGTTGCGGTCAAGCCAAATCAACCGCAACCAGAAGACACCCCCGGACCACAGTCATTGATTGAACTGATAGAGTGCTTGGAAACTCGTGAGAGATTGGCTGCTGAGCGTATCCCCCTCAAATTAGAAATGGGGATCCGGTCCCTTGACAACAATAGACAAGCAGATCACAAGAACTTCATGGCTGCTGCGGAACGTCTCATCTCTAAGGTAACCGCAATCAAGAAAGACCTTCAAGCAGCCATTACGGATCAAGCCTCCCAATCTCAAAAGCTGATTGCTGAGACTCACACTGCCTATGAGTCCACGATCTCAGTCCTTCAAGCTACAATCAACCGCCTACAACGATCTCTGTCCACAAATTTCCATGGTCTTGAAATCCTTCAACTTACCAAGGAAATTCACTGGCTGCTCTTCAACTCCACCATCCCCAACAATGAACAATTAGCAGATGCCCTCAAAGCTCAATTTCAAGAAGTTTTTGCCAAAGTTGATGGCCTTCGACAATGGCTTGAGGAGGCTCCGGGTTTGAACTCCTCAAGAGGGGGAAGTGAAGAAGAAGTCCATCACTCCAATCACTCCATCTCACAACATCAAAGTCCCCCCATCACTACAGAAAAAATTCCTTCACCGCAACCATCTCATCGTACCCCACCTTATAACCCTCCACCGCAAGAAGAAATATTTCCTGAAAGACCCGAGACTCCCCCTCACTTCAAAAATCTTGCGGAGCACATGTCCTCCCCAAGTTCAAATGACTCTCCTGTAACGAAGCAAAAGAAATCTGACTAGAAAACAGCTAAGCTTGTAGAGCTCATTTGGAGAGAATGCGATTTTGACACTGTGATGGATGAATCCCTAATAAACTCTTGGATCAATCCTCACCGCAAGCTCTTGGATGATGATTACACACCTCATCTCACTTATGTTGAACCCCTTCGGATGGCTACTGGGATTTCCCAATCTCTCCGAATGCCAGATAATTCACAGTATTTGAGCAATTCGACAGCAACCTTCCAGACCTCAAAAGACTGCCAATGGAATTTGAGAGACTTAGTCTTTTTTATGCTAAGCATGCCTCTCCTATTGAGAATATATGGTCTAACGATAGACCATCCGCAGTCAAGAACTACAAGATTCAGAAGTTCATGAAGGCTGACTTCATCCAGTACACTCTGTCTAGAAGGGAACACGACTATGTCCGCACCCAAGCAGACTTCCCTTGTATGAATCCGAAAGAAGTCTTTCTCATTGCAAAGGTGTTCCAAAACAAGTCGGAGAAGCACCCGAAGACGAAGATTGCGCTTGAAAGGGCTAAAACCTTTTTGAAGGAAACAGTCTGTGATTTTGCTAAACTCGACGCAGACATCTACCCCACCATTGCCAAGAAATTTGATCTACCAACACTCGGCCCTGCACCAATGCCTACTGAAGGCTACGAAGAAAGATCCTTAGGTGCAACCAACTACCCTGAACTCGAAGTCATTTTCAAAAGGAAGATCGATAATGTCAAATACTACTGCAACTTGATATCTGGCGAAATGCAGTTGAAAAATCGAAGCATACTACTGCAGAAGTCAAGTTCGAAATCTTAAGGAGAATCATCTGGTTGGAAAACATCAGGAAGTTTTGGTGGATCCTGAACAAACGTTAAAGAGGTCACTTAGGGGAAATTGTTAAATCATAAAAAGTGACCCTCTTGAACTTTAGCTACCGCAGCTGTCAAGCCCCCGCAGTTAAGCTCCTCCATCAACAACTGCATCTGGATCTCTATCTACCTTGCATGGCTACCCTTAGAGATGTAATCTAGTGTACCTCATGAGTCTCTATAAATAGAACTCATTTCTTATGAATCAACACAAAGATCTCTTCTTACTCATCTTTAGATCTTAATTATCTTCAAGTTATCTCATATCTTTCTTACTCTCTGAAATCCTCTCGAACACAACTGTTTTATATCTCTTTTCGGAGCAAGTCATCCGTGACTTTATCACTAAGATTGATCTCACTCATTAACTTGGTTTGAATGCATTCCATGTTATGAATCATCTTATATGTTTACTTGATATATCACATGCTGTCATTTATGTTTCTTTACATTTCCGCAACTAACTATCTAACTTTCTAACATATTAACTTATTATTATTGTTGAACTTTTAGATCCTTTGAGATTAACTAATTCCGCAATCATACTTGTTTTAACGTTTGTTCAAGTGTGCCTCAAGTTATTTTCTCTCAACACGTACGAATCACTTCCCTTAATTTTAGCACATTATTTTTACTTCTTTCTTCTTCACAACTTTTTTAATTCGTTTCTTAATTTAAATTTATATATAATTTGTTAAAAGATCTAAAAGTTTGTTATTAAAAGAGAGCTACAAAGATTATAACATAGATAAAGATTGGTTTGCAAATCTTTTACATTTATAGAAAGATTTAGAAGTTAAGAAAGTTTCATTAAGTTCAATTATAATTTATAAAAATTGAACATAAAAATAAAGTTAATTTTTAATTCAGTTTAACTAAAATAATACAATTTAATCGAAACGAAACACAAATCAAATAATCCATATTCGATTTAGCCAAATAAAATTAACCGAAAACCAAATAAATCAAATCAAACCTATGTAGCTCTTTGAATAACATTCGATATGATAATCACATATTTGAAAATTATAATATTTAAAAGACAAAACTTCAAAAATGGTCTCTGTGGTTTTTGAAAATATCAAGTTTAGTCTCTAAGTTCAAAAAACCTCACAGATGGTCCCTGTGGTTTCAAAACTTTTAACAAATGGTCATTTTCGCTAACTCCGTTAGCTTTTGACCGTTGACTGAAGAGCATTTCTGTCTTTTCACTATTGTAGGGACCATTTTTGAAGTTTTGCCCTTATTTAAAAAACAAGAAAAAAACTTATTATTTAATATAGAAAAGGTCTCTCTCTCTCTCTCTCTCTCTCTCTCTCATAAAACACACCTCCTCTGGTTCCTCTTTATTTGATCGTAACAAAGAAAAAAAATACTCTTTTGAAGAAAAGCCCTAAACCAATCTAGAACACCATTGTTGGACAGCTTCCAAAAACCATTGAATCGCCACCTCATTTCCAGCCTCCACCACCAGAGAGCATGTTTTGACTCCCACCCCACATATTGATTCATCACAGGTTTATCATCAACAAATTCATTACCATTGTGATTAGAATCAACTGTTGTACAAGTGAGATTGATGCTTTTAAAAAAAAAAGAGTAATTGAATTGATGCTCTAAAGATAGAGAAGAAAAGTTTTTAAGCTAGGTTAACTGATTTCAGGGACCAAAACCTCATGGATTTCGAGCTCCAAAGGTTGGTTGAATCCAAGACGAGTGAAATCGATGTATGTAAACAAGTTGAAGATCTACATGTATGCTTTTCTTTTCACTACAACTATATGTGATTTCTATTGGTTTAGAGTAAAATAATACAAAAATACCCCCTCTCCCCCTTTGATTTTGGGTTTCGGGTATGAATGAGAATAGAATTTAAATAGAACAGAACTTGAACAAGGAAAATGGGAGATTATAATAAGGAAGACGATCTGGTGGTGGATGTCACAGTGATTGTGGAAGCTTCGATGTTATGGAGTAGAGGAATAAGTATGGTATGTGGTGGATGGATGGCGGGAATAGTGATGTAGAAAAACGATGAACGTGATAGGGGGTCGGAGATGAGGAGATGCGATTTGAGCATTGTTTTTCTAATCTCACCAAAACCAAAATCTCTCTAATTTGATGTTGTAGTTGTGCGATGTTGATTATCAGTTTGGGGTTTGATTTTGGTGGTAAGAGTGTGAGTTGAAGAATATGGGATGGTGTAGGTTCTGTGTTTGATTTTATCCAAAACAGATGACGATAATCAATCGTTCTCCTTCTTTTTGTTGTAAACATTTGATAAGCTCGATTGTTCAACTTTCAAATGGTGAAGCTTCATCTGGGTTATTTTATCATTGTATGAAATTTTTTTGATTTATTGGTTTGTAATAAGATAGAATTTCATATGGCAAAATTTAAAATGAACTTTCAGATGATGCTACTTGAGAGAGAGAGAGAGAGAGAGAGAGAGAGAGAGAGAGAGAGAGAAGAGAGAGAGAGAGAGAGAGAGAGAGAGAGAGAGAGCTTTTCTATATTAAATAATATTTTTTTTTTCTTTTTCTTTTAAATAAGGGCAAAACTTCAAAAATGGTCCCTGTAATAATGAAAAGACAGAAATGACATTCACTTAACGGTCAAAAGCTAACGGAGTTAGCGAAAAGGACCATTTGTTAAAAGTTTTGAAACCACAGGGACCACCTGTGAGGTTTTTTTAACTTAAGAACTAAACTTGATATTTTCGAAAACCATCGAAACCATTTTTGAAGTTTGGTATATATACAATCTAAATGATAAGGATAAAGTTATAAACAAATAAACATTCAGAATTTAAAATTTTTAATTATTTCTGGTATCTCATACGTATATAAACTTATATAAGGACACAATTGATAAATCTATGACTGATCAATTGATTCCCCGCCAAACTATGAAAATATAGTGCTTTGCATATATATATTTTATGCAATTAAGCATATAAAATTCGTTAGGTGTATGGTGGCTGTCAATTGCCATGCTCTAACGACTAATCATTGTGATAAATAAATTGGAGACCTGAGAAGTGTTGTCTGAGGTCATCGCTGACGTGTGTTCTAAATTCGTCAAGTATAAATCCCCATACACACTCTCTTCCCTTAAAGAGCATTTATCATATCAATCCAAGCTTCAAAAAATGGCAAAATCACCAGCGACAGAGCATCCCATCAAGGCCCAAGGTTACGCTGCCAAAGACACTTCTGGAACCTTTTTACCTCTCACCTTCTCCCGAAGGTACGCATTCCACAGACCAAAAATGAAGGGATATTTTGTTTATCAGCTTATTTTAATTTTCAAATTCAGCAGATAAGGAGAGTTATTTCTCGTTTTTAGTTGTTAATTTAACTATTGTAAAGTGATGTTATATATGGGTCGTCATTTACGAATATGATCCTCTGCTTTTCTGTTGATCGTGATGATGGTTTATTTATTTGTAACAGAGCCACAGGAGATAAAGACGTGAGATTCAAAGTTTTGTACTGCGGAATCTGCCATTCTGATCTTCATTTTGCCAAGAACGAATGGGGTGTGACTACATATCCAGTAGTTCCGGGGTACAAATTCATATACTACTTGTCTGCTAGCCTTTACTAATCAACACATTTTGTGTTCATGAATTTGGTTCTGTTACAGTGTTAAAGTTAATATTTGAGTATGTGTTTGCATGCATCCATGCATTTGTTGATTTTATAATGACACATGTAGGCATGAGATTGTGGGTGTCGTGACAGAAGTAGGAACCAAAGTAGAGAAATTCAAAGTTGGAGAAACAGTCGGTGTTGGATGCTTGGTGGGATCATGCAGATCATGTCAAAGCTGTTCTAACAATCTTGAACAATACTGCCCTAAGATGATCTTGACCTATGCTGTTCCTTACTTCGATGGCACAATCACATATGGTGGCTACTCGGACCACATGGTTTCTGATGAGCATTTTGTGTTGCATTGGCCAGACAATTTGCCACTTGACTCCGGTGCACCATTGCTATGTGCTGGGATCACAACTTATAGCCCCCTCAGACACTATGGACTAGACAAACGTGGAACCAAGTTGGGAGTGGTTGGTCTTGGTGGGCTTGGTCATGTTGCAGTAAAGATTGCTAAGGCTTTTGGGGCAGAAGTTACTGTTTTCAGTACCACTCCAGAGAAGAAACATGAAGCACTTGATGGACTGAAAGCTGACCATTTCATAGTTAGCAAAGATTTGGAGCAAATGCAGGTAATGACATACCTTTCTTTTATATCCAACTTGGACGACATTATTTGTTTCAATATGCTTAACTTGAGTTTGTTTGATTATGTATGTAGGCTGTTACCGGAACTCTTGATGGTATTTTAGATACTGTTTCTGCATCTCATGCTATTGCACCCTTTCTTAATATTCTTAAAACTGATGGAAAGTTGGTTCTTGTTGGTGTGCCCGAGAAGCCACATGAACTACCGGCATTTCCTTTGATCATAGGTAACTAAATAACTATATGCTTTGATCAACACAATTTCTTTCATTTTTAGATGTATTATGAGTTATGACAATCTTCATAGTCCAATGAGAATTGAAATTTTGCCTATATAAAATTAAGAGTGCTCGTTTAAAATTTTATAGGGAGGAAGATTGTTGGTGGTAGTAACATAGGAGGACTGAAAGAGACACAAGAGATGCTTGATTTCTGTGCGGAGCATGAGATAACAGCAGATATAGAGGTTATCCCCATAGATTATGTGAATACGGCCATGGATCGTCTCTTGAAATCCGATGTTAGATATAGGTTTGTGATCGATGTAGCAAATTCTATCAAAGCTCCACTTGACACATGAGATGCAAAAGGTCTCACTTCACATATGAGATGCAGGGTCCGAGGTCGATGTAGGTTTCAACAGAGGTTGGTTGTATGTTGATAGATTTGTATGGTCAATATTTTGACATATATTAAATCCATAAATTTCAAATACATATAAAAGAGGACTAAATAATTTATTAGCTAATTTGAATGCTTGTGTATTTGTAACGTCCCAAAAATAATATCAAAATTTTTATTTTTAGATTAATAAATCGTTAATACATATCATTTCCATAAAACCAAGATAATCAATATTTATCAAAACATCATCAAATCAGAGTAAATCACAGAATACGGAAACATGTGGTGTATGCTCTACAATCGTTCCGAACTCTTATTTTTGAAATTCTTAGTACCTGAAACATAAACTTGAAACATAAACTGATAACCGTCATCGGGCCTCGCCTGGCATCGAGCTCCGCTTGGTATACAGTTCAGGCCTCGCCCAACATACATGATACATATAACAAATAAACACATACACATTCAATAATCATAGGGATACATAGCATACAACATGGTCATCGGGCCTTGCCCGACAGTGGGCCTCGCCCGGTAATCATACAAATACATAATATATGCAAGAGTCATGCAGACAAGTAGCACACTAACATAACATAATCATTGGCCAGCATTGGTTCATTCAACTCGCTAAATATAGTGAGGAGACTCACCTCGCACTATTGGACCTCATGGAAAGAATCTCTGGCTGCTGGCTCACAAGAATCCCCGCGCTATCAATCACAAGTTAAACATTCATCAATATTCGGATCCGACCAATACCACGTGTCCAAACTAAGGTACACGACCTTTTTACCATCTTTATAACTTGGCCCCAAATCCAAGGCCCAATTCAACAATACAAGAGGCCCAAACATGACCCGAAACATCCCAAGGTCAACCATGATCAAACTTTTGGTCAAAGTCAAAGTCAACTGTCCATGTTGACCAGACACGCCGTGTTGATTTGAAAACAAACTGTGTTTCACCATCATCCAAATAATCGGGAAAACCCTAGCCAACATGCCGTGTTGGCTTGCAAACACGCTGTGTTTGCCCGAGTTTCAGCAGCTTAATACATTAAGCTGCTTTCTTCGACTCCAAGAGCTCCAAAGCTCAGATCTAGTCCATAATGTGGTCTAGAAGGATAAAGTTTCCAACTTTACCCAACAGGACCACCCAAAAGGTTCAAAACTCAGTCCATAAAGCTTAATAGCACAAAGCTTAACCAATAAGCACTTTACTCTTAAAAACATAGCCCCAAAACATAGATTTGGCCTCCTTGAGCTGGAAAACCACGTAAAGTTACCAAATTTATGTTCATACATGTCTAAATAAAGTTACCATCTATGTGAAAGTAATTTGAATTGGTTTCTCCTTTCGACTCGAAGCGTCACCAACCACATTTGCATTTCTAGGATGATAGTGAATCTCACAATCATAGTTTTTGAATAATTCCATCTACGATTGTTCGGGCGGTTTAGTTGCCTTAACGCATAGGAAATTACTCGACCTTTCTTTATTAAGACGCATCCAATGCCAACTCGCGAAGCATCGGTATAAATAACAAAGTGATCTACTACTTATGCTAAAGCTAATATTGGAGTTGACACAAGGTCTTTTCTAATTACTAGAATGCTAGGTTTTGAACATCTGTCAATATAAACTTCTCAGTTTTTCTTGTCAACTTTGTTAATGACGTTGCAATCGAAGAAAAACCTTTAATGAACCGTCGGTAATTACCCACCAATCCAAAAAAAACTGTAGATTTTTGATGGATTTTTCGAAGGATCCCATTTCATTACTGCCTTGATCTACGCAAGATCCACTTGCACTATGTCTTCACAAATAACATGTCCTAATAATTGGAGTTTTCGAAGCCAAAATCCGATTTCATTACTGCCTTGATCTACGCAAGATCCACTTGCAATATTTCTAAAATCTATCGTAAATGCTTTCTATGTTGTTCCCGACTTGTGGAACATCTCATCATATCATCTATAAATACGATTACGAATTTGTCTAATAATATATGACAATTTCTCTTCATTAAGTCCGTAAATGTTGCAGGTGCATAAGTTAGACCAAACGGATTTACCATAAATTGGTCATAACCATACCGGATTCAAAAATCGTTTTTTTGAATATCAAACTCTTTAACTTTTAACTGGTGATAGCCCCATCTTAAATCAATTTTTGAAATGAACGAAGCACCTTAGAGTTGGTCAAATAAATCATCTATACATGGTAACAGATAACGATTCTTCATCGTAATATTGTTCAAATTTCGGTAATCAATACACATATTCATGGTGCCATCTTTCTTTTTAACAAATAAAATGAGTGCATTCCACGATGACGAACTAGGACATATGAATCCTTGATCTATCAACTCTTGTAGCTGATTACGAAGTTCCTCCATTTCTGATAGTGCTAATTAATTAGTTGCTCGGGTTATCAGAAATGATCCAAGACTCAGATCAATAACAAGCTCTATTTGTCGATCAGATGGTAACCCGGAAATACTTCAGGATATTATCTCACTCAACATCATTTATGTAACATCCCAAAAATACAGGACAAAAATTTCATTTTTAAATACGTTATTAGAAAACCAACAGTGTAATAAAATATTTGTAATATCATGTCTTGTCAAAACCAAAGTAGAAATAATCAAAACATGTTATCATAAAACAATATCAGAGTGTAATCCCAAAGATCTCATGTGCGGAAAACCATAGTGTGATGCGCAACGTTCGAGCTGGCTCATTTCCTTTAAAAACGAGTACCTGAAACCAAAACTCTAAACCGTAGGCACGAATCTTAGTGAGTTCCCCCATCATACCACATACCATATAATATAATGTCAGGCAATTTTGGGGCGCCTGACTTACCCAGGTCAAACCATTCTGGGGTGTTTGACGTACCCGAGTCAAGCCATTCTGGGGTGCTTGACGTACCCTTCGGTCTATTTCACCTGACTACCGGGGACTATTTCACCCCTACTACTACCGCATAAACACATAACATAACATAATGTACTGTCAGACAATTCTGGGGTGTCTGACTTACCGAGGTCAAGCCATTCTGGGGTGCTTGATGTACCCATGTCAAGCCATTCTTGGGTGCTGACCTACCCGTGTCAAGCCATTCTGGGGTGCTGACATACCCTTCGGTCCTAACAACCGACCCTTGGGGACTATTCCATCCCCTACTGCTACTATCACATATATCAGAACATAAACATACTATCAGACATATCTGGGGTGTCCGAACTACCCTTCGGTCCTAACAACTGAACTTGGGGACTATTCCCCTCGTACTACCACTATCACATATAACATATCATGCCAGCGTATAAACATATCATCACATATTGTTAGACATATTTGGGGTGTCTGACTTACCCTTCGGTCCTAACAACCGAACTCTACTACTATCACATATAACATATCATGCCAGCATATAACATATCAGGTAGTAGCAAACCTAGATGATATCACAAAGACAATCATCTAACATACAACTCCTACTGGTGGGTCGGCATTGTGGCTGTAGACCCACTGCTACTGGAAGGTAACTCACCTCACACTGCTGAAGTTCCGAAGATACAATCCCACACTTGCTGAAGTCCCGCAGACTCGACCCCAGCTGGTGGCTGACAGATTCCCGAACTGTCAACACCAAAATAACACCCAAGTAATAATTGGGTCCCAATACATAACCATAAGTACATTCTTTGGGTAATTACTAAATTACTCCTAGCTTGGCTTATTCAAGCCGAAGGCCCAATCCATAGGCGCAAAGTCAATTAGGAATCAAAGCCCAACACGTGGCTAAATTTTCCAAATTGGGCCTAGGCCTATACATCGTCTCATTCTAAGGCCCAACATCATATAATCATTAAGACCCAAACTATGGCCCATCTATGGCCCAATTTTCCAAATTAGGCCCAAGCCCCTTACATGGGCTTTACCCTAGGCCCATTAAATTACTCTAGACCATTTGCTTGATCTTGGATAGCCCATTTAATAACCCAATCATCAAGGCCCAATAGAAAGGCCCAACAATAAACCTAAGTGAAATTAGGGTTTCACATAAAATGATGATTAGGGTTAAGTTTCCTACTTAAGCCATTAAGGACTTAATCCATCAAAGACTTAATCCATTAAGTCCAATATTGCTTAGATTAATTTCTGCCAATGATTATTATTTAATATTCCAAGTTATTAATAAGTCCCGTGTGTCTCGATTAATTCCCCAAAATCAGGGTTTTGATGGCATTAGGGTTTTCCAAACCCTAATTAGGGTTTCCAACCCAAATACTAGCCCATTTATCAATTTGTTGGCCTTTTATGTCAATTAGGTGGGCCTATTCGGCCCACTGGAATATCATTGAGCCCATTATGGTTTTCACTAAGCCCATTAGGCTTCATTGGGCCCATTAGGGTTTTCACTAAGCCCATTAGGCTTCATTGGGCCCATTAGGGTTTCAAGCACCCCAAACGACTCAACACAATCTGACAAGGCACACCGCCACCCGACACGGCGGCCGGTGGTGGCAGGAGGTGGCAGCCACCACCCTATGGTGGTGGTTTTCAGTTTCTTTCTCATTATTCCAATCCATTTACATTTTACAATGCTAAAACTCGAAATAAACACACACACTAAACAACATACACACACATCCAACTTATGGTGGCCGGTGGTGGTAGAAGGTGGCAGCCACCACCTCACGGTGGTGGCGGTGGTTGTTCTAGGTTCTTCGGCCAATAAGCTACACATATAACACATGCTATAGAAAGAACAAACACCCATACAATTTTCTTGCTTGCAAACGGATGCAGCCACCCTGATGGTGGTTGTTGGCGGCGGCAGAAGTACAAAGCGACGGCAGTAGCAGCGGCCAAGGGCCACTTCCGGCGACAACAGCCGCCTGAACGACGTCGAACACTAGAGAAGAGTGGATGTGCGAGACGAGTTTGATCCAACCGGTGATTCTGGTCGTCAATGAACTTTTCTTCTTCGCGTACAACCTACACATGGTCTCGGTGGGCGGGCTTTCCCAGCTACTCACATCATTACGACGGCATCAGGCGACGGACAGACCTTCATTGTTGACGCGGCAGTAGGTAGATCAGCAGCGCTGTGACGGCGCTCACAGCGGCGGTTAAAGTAGGAGATGAAGAATGAGAACGGAGGAGGCTTTGGTGGTTGTTGTGGCATTTGGATGGCGAGGCAGCG